ACCAACAGGCTATTTCCCCTACCGATCAGCCTAGTGCTCTACTTTCAATGTCCTATTCACAACCTCGGCAAGTAGCACTCTTGTGAGGAGTTAGCCGAACCCTCACCCCTGGCCGGCTGTTTTTGCCTCTGCACTAGTGAATTAAGGAGACAGTGACCCCTTTTCTAGGTTGTCTACCTCTGTTTAGTTGCTTGCTCGGGTCAGCTGAGGTCGCCAGAGGACAGCAACCTTATCCACAGGTCATAACCAACTCACAGGTCAGAATGTCAGTCAATATATCCAGCCGACTTTTATACATCAGACCCAAAAAAAATAGCAAGTTGAGTGCCAGTTTTTAAACTGTCACGGGCTTTATCCATTTAGATTTGAAATGAGTGTACTCCTTCCTTAAAGCTTTAGTATATGTCACAGTGACATCAAATGTGGGAGAGATTATTCAAACCAGAGGTTGGGTGAATCTGGTGCAGAGCTTTCTACTACTTAACCCCCTAACCGAGATAAAATGGACTCACCCGCCCGTTTCATGTTTATTTATATCAGTTTTCTGGGTTGGTTGGAGTATGTGGGACAACGTGCTCTAGACAGTGAGGACAACGACTGACGTATGTGGAGGCACAGTAGTCCTGCCTGCAGTTCAACCTATTACAGTCTGGACAACCTATTTATTGGCAGAGTCAATTAGAGCAGACTCTGTCAATCTTAACTTTTTATTTTCTGTTTGTGGTGGGGAACACTAAACTGTGGAAAGAGAAATCTGAGAGCCTGGTTTGGGAAGGTTTTACTTCAGATTATTTTCATCTACATTTTAATACTACTTTTTTTTTAAATTGAAATTCTATGCATCATTTAATACACTTATGATAATTCTGTGGTGAGAAAAGTTAAAGTTTTATCTCATTCCAAACTTGTGAAAATATTCTTTGGGAAAATGAGACTTGATAAGATCTTGTCAAATATTGAAGTAACAGCATAACTATTCACTATTGAAAGAATTTTTTTACCTTAAAAATATCACACTTCTGAGAATCGAGATTCCAGTTAATTAACAAATTTGTCCACTTGAAAAAGAAACTTTTAAAAAATATTAGTGAAAGAGTGAGTGAGTATGGTTTTACAATATTCCACCAATATCACGGAGGGGGACACCTGAAATTGGCTTCACACATTGTACCCATGTCGGGAATCGACACGGGTCTTCGGCGTGAAAAGTGAACACTTTAACCACTTTAACCACTAGGCTACCCAACCAAAATATGTCTGGTGGCAGGGCTTACATGTCCCAAATTTGAAATATATTTGAAACCTTTTTGCCACAATACCTAATCCAAAACATAACATTGGTACTGCTTCACAATAATTAGATCTATATCTAAATCTGTAACATAAACATGTAATACTAGGGCTGCAACGAATACACTATGAGGCGAATACAATTTGTATCACGAATATAGGGTAACGAATGCGAATATCAATTCACGAATACAATAACAAGTCAGCAGTTGATGTATTATTTGTTATATTCAATGAAACAAAAGCAACACAACTTATTTGACATGGTTTGTTAATTATTAACATATTATACATTTATATACTGCACTTATCCAGGTGCTAGTATCTGCTCAAATGCGACAGTGACCAGTGACCACAATACTGTCAAATTAAATGTTATAAGAGTGTTGTCTTTGAAGAAATCTATGCATATAATATGTTCTTATGGATATTTTTAGATACAGGGTATGTAAATGAACATGACTGCATATTCATAAATATTCATTTCTATTGGTCACGAATAACGAATTCAATTCATGAATGGATACGGTTCGATTCACCGAATACGCGAGTGAATCGTAACAGTCCTAGGTAATACCACAAAAACTCATCAGAAACTTACATCTAAAAGAATTCAACAAACTGGCACTTGTATTGGTTATTAAATGAATAGTCCACCATTTTCAAACGGTTTATTATTTGTTTTATTCTTAATATATACATGTATTGGGGCCTTGAAGCACTATTTGAATCAAGGGATAGGAGGGGTAAAATGGGGTTTAACGTCCGGTTCAAGATTTTTGTAATCGTATATCGATTGTGTGTGCGTGCTTGTACAAGTCCAGACTAATCACGATTTTATAGTGCTAGCACACTGAGATACCATGCCGCAAGCCCACGGAGGCGGTGAATCTAGGGATAGAACAAGGACCCTTTGACTTTCATGCTTAATTTCCAACACTGTAACTCCTGCAGCTACAGTAGATTCATATTTAAAAGCCACGAACATACAAATATGTACCTGGTGTAAAGCATCAAACAACCCTGAGTGAGTGAGTGAGTATGGTTTTACACCGCTTTTAGCAATATTTCAGCAATATCATGGCGGGGGACACCAGAAATGGGCTTCACACATTGTCAGGAATCGAACCTGGGTCTTCGCGTGACGATTGAACGCTTTAACCACTAGGCTACCTGGCCGTCCCCAAACAACCTTGACCACGATACATCATCATCCTCGACGGTCATCCTCAGTATGTCATTTTGATAACTAAATGACAACGATCTTACTAGAAACCACTATCATAATACTGTCAGTATACTGTAAGTGATGAAGAAATACATATTTTCTAATCTGTAATTTATATGTTTATAAATAAACCATAAATGTAAAATATGGCGATTCACTGATTTATTGCTTTTTAGGGCCATCCAAGAAATGTTTCATCAAGGCATTACCAACCGGCAATAACCTTGTAGATAATGGTCGGACTACAAATAATCACAGGGAGACACAAAGTCACTTCATGCATATGTAATACTGTAACTACTACCATATTTGCCACAATAAGCACCCTCGTCATTTAGAAAATCACTTTGGTTGCCTTAGAACAATTCTCACACGGATCTTCAAAGGAGGATGTCGAAGATTGAGTGGGAAAAAGTCAGTTAAAAAGTCTGATGAAACCGAACATTATTGGAGTAGATGAATAACTACTTTGATTCATCAAATGTTATATTTGGGATAACACTTTCTTAGTAAAGTACAGATTCTCGTACTTTTTAGGGTTGAGTCCCATACTGGGATTCGAACCCACACTGCCAGAGTGTGGCACCTAATCGCCAGCACACAAAAAAGTACGAGAATCTGTACTTTACTCAGAAGGTGTTATCCTAAATATAACATTTGTTACATTTGACCACTTTCTAAATGGCAGTGTGTGTTCATAGCTTTCGGCAATGGCAGCCGTGCCAATTTACACTTGTCAGAGGGGTACACAAACTATGTGATTTAGACTACCAGTTGTCAGACTTTTATTTTTGTGGAAGCCTCGGTGGCTGAGTGGGTTAGATCGCTGACTTTGCTGGTGATAAGGTGCCTCACTCTGGCAGTGTGGGTTCGAATACCGGACGGACTCAACCCAAAAAAGTACGAGAATCTGTATTTCACTCAGAAAGTGTTATCCCAAATATATCATTTTTTACATTTGACCACTTTCTAAATGACAGTGTGTGTTTATACTTATACTTTATACTTATACTTCATAAATGCTGTAATCAATATTGTTGTTTGTGATTTACTCATTCCATAACTCAGAAATAGAAATCACATTAACATATGTCTTATCTTTTCCCCATGCACCAGCAGTTATTCAACTCTGTCCCACATTATAACAGGGTTAGAAACTAACAGTTTTTGTCCACTAGTCCTTATAATGATAACATAAAGCAAAACCCTTAAAAAGGGCAAATTTCTACTAGTCCTTATGATACCTTTACCATTGGGCAGTTTGGCAAGGACTATAGGACTAGTGCCAATTTCTAACGCTGTATAACTTAGTTGATTTGTTAGTGCAGGGCTCACTTAAGGAATTTTCTGACATTGGCCCTTTATTTGAAAATTTCAAATATTCCAGAGGTACACACCCCACTTACATGATGTTAAAATGCCCCATTGTCTTAGAAAATGAGGGTTTTCAAATTTTGGGGCAAAATGCACAAGACCACCCCCTAGACATATCCCTGTTAGTGCAAAGATCAAAAGAAATGATTTTGCAAACATTATGTATAAAAAAAGGAAAAAGCTTTGATATATCACAAAGTGGACGGCTGTACTTTCGGACAAAATGTGAATTTTACATAGGAGCAGATTGTCATGTAAACTTTTGGTAGTACTCAGTTCTTGGCACTTATAAAGACTACCTGTTAATTGGTTAATCTTGTACCATATTCGCCATCCTGCTTCAATAAGCACCCAACAACCAAGTGAAGAGAGGTTGGTTGGTTGGTTGGTTGGTTGGTTTGTTGTTTAACGCCGCACTCAGCAATATTCCAGCTATATGACGGCCAGTGGTGAAGAGAGGTATGCGACATATGTTGTGATAAGCAGCCGATTAACAGTGACAGCAACAGGTAGCAGATAACAAGAACCATACAGATCATTGGTAGTCTGTCATACAGACCCTGAAACAAATATATCTAATACAGCCCATGCAAGTCTATAATGTTTGACAAGTCTAGATTACTGCAGTATCTGAAAATGAAGATTCTCTCAGACTGGGCTCCTTTTTATTACATTTTTATCAAGATAATTCAACAATTGGTTTTTTTCTGGAAGATATGTTCATTTCTGGGACTCGATGTTAGTCTAAGATCATTGGCTGAAGCCAGACGTACAATAAGAATAACAAATAGCACACAGGTAATGAAGCCAGATTTACGGTAAGGATAAGGACTAACACGATTAAAAGTAAGTTGTGACAAGCTGATTGGATCCTAATTAAAAGGTATAATGCTTGATTAGATCTTCATAGGCAGATGGGATGTGATGACAAAATAATTCAACAGCATGCATGCATGTATACAGCTATCCTCAAAATCCTGTGAATTAAGTGAGTATTCTAGGTCAGGAACATGATGAATTAATCCTGATTGAATTAATAACTGTGTGGGTGCAGGAAAATGGATATAATACCACACAAATTCCAGTAAGAATAAAGAAAGACTCCTACCTTTGCATCATGAGTGAGATCCAACACTTCAATGTGATTCTGAACTCCTTGCACTGAAAAGCAGGGAAAACGTTTATGTCCACATTTCCGCCTGAGCATTGACAAGCAAACTGCCTGAATGCATCATTCTTAGGGAATCATAAATCAAATGACATTGTGGCAACTGATATTTTGTGATGGTGTAATAAAGATGAAGCAATACCTGATACACTGCTGTTTAACACGACAGAGAACACACACACACACACACAACAAATCATTCATATATACACACACACACACCAATCATTCATACATACACACACACACACCAATCACACACAAAATCACACACCAATCACGTCTCACACACACTCAATCACAGTCGCACGCACACGCACACGCACACACACACACACACACACACACACATACACACACACACACCAATCATTCATACATACACACACACACACCAATCACACCCACACAAAATCACACACCAATCACGTCTCACACACACTCAATCAGTCGCACACAAACTCAATCACAGTCTCTCTCTCTCACTCACACACACACACACACACACACACACACACACACACACACCAATCACGTCTCACACACACTCAATCACACAGTCGCACACACACACTCAATCACACAGTCACAGTCACACACACACAATCACACGCACACACTCAATCACACAAACAGTCACAGTCACATGCACAATCACACACAGTCACAAAATCACACCCAACTATTTATAACCTGTCAGTCATCAGTCCTACTGTAAAGTTTAAGGCACTGGGGATAATTAACACATTAAAAGACGAAACAGAACAAAGATGTTTTCTTCCATGGGTCTCCTTTGAGACAGGGAATTTGCCACACAATATGTACGTGTTGAAAATATACAGTAAACTCACGCGTATAACAAACTCAAAGGGACTAAAAATTTTAGTTTGTAATAACCGTAGTTTGTTATGAGCATATATACAACAAATGTCCAGGACTAAAAAATAAGTTTGTTATATCGGTCATTTCCTTATAAGCGTTTTCGTTATAAACGCTGTTTACTGTATACATGTATTATCATTTGTGCAAGGACACCACGCTGGTGATGATGAAAAGAGTTATACCCCTTGACAATGTTCATTTGACAAAATGTCTGGGGGTTTTCTAAGCCTTTTTAAGTAATATAAGATAGCTACATAATAAATCGCAAAGAACAACGAAGAACAAAGCATGGTTCATTTCATGATTAAAACATTGTTCTATCATGATGTCACTTCTGGAGATTTGAACATGCGCTCACGACTTAATGACGTCTAATATTGGACAACATTATTTTTGACGGGAGTGTCTAGTGAGTTGTTTCCCACAGATGTAGCTGGGCAACGCAGAAAAACACAGTGGCCGAACGATTGTATCCAAAAGCAGGAGAGATATGACAATCGTTATTTGGAGAAAAGGTACAAGTAAGTAAAGGGAGGATTGTGAGAATATGCAGGAAATACCCATCTGTGCATAGAATGAACTTGTCCGACATTGCCAAGGTCAGATTCTATTGAGAGATTCATTATTTTTATTAAAATACAGGTAAATATTTTTAGAGCTTGAACATTTTAGTTACATCCTTCCAGAGGCTGTACATAATGTTGATATCTCAAATAAGAAATAAATGACTCGTGGACGTTGTTTTTTGTACAATAAAACACTGCATGATTTATTCTCCCTGCAGTGTTTTATTGTACGTTAAAACACATACCATATCTTATGTGCCATTTTAGAAGCTGTAGTATCAATGGCGAGAGATATAGAGATTACTACATGAGTGTCTGTTAGATACCATTGATCTTACAACGAGTTGTTTCAAAACGTATGCTTTGTAACAACGAGTTGTAAGACAATGGTATCTGACAGGCACGAGTGCAGGAATCTGTTTCTTACACACCCTAAAATCTCACCGTTTTAGCATCGAATCGATGCATTTTGTCTATTCTCATGATTGCAGCAGCGCATTAATACATAACACCACTGTCATAACTGACATCCTATGTACTACTCACTACTCATAGATAATGTGACCCTACACAAAAAGGTTTCCTCCATAGCTGCGGATTATCAAGACAATATCGATAATGCAACTAGACAAAAACAAAGAACACGCTGGATGCCGAGTTAAAAGTTTACACCTCAAAGAAATTACCAAATATGTACAACAATGTTTACTTCCGTATGACATCACTACCGGTGACCGACTTTTACAAAATGGCGTGTTCACTGACAACAATACGCGGGATTTCAAGAGGAGGATTTTCGTTGATTGAAAGATCGTATAAATGTGTCACGCAAGTAATCAGAATAATTCTGACAGTCTTCATACTGTTATTTGTTTACCATGTTTTCCAATGTAACAAAGAGAATTAGTCAGAAATGCAGATAACTACCGTCGTCGTTGTGCGTGATTTAGCGTCAGTCATGGCGTCACACAGGACAGACAATTTTATGGTTTCTGTTGAATTTACCACATCATTGTAATGTATATATTTGAAATTACACACTTAGTGCAACGATACTCTTCCCATGAATATTCTCAAACGTGTGATCGAGCCAATATATGCAACAATTAGACAAAAGTACCTCTAAAAATGCTACACAGTGTAAAATCTGAATTTTTTGTTTACATTTCAGCAAGTACAGTTTTCCGAGCACAGTGTTCGTTTTAACCTCTAATTTATTTCGCATGATTTCATCTAGATAATTTGCATTGGTGACAAAGACCATGTGTCATTTGTTTCTAAAATGTATGAGGAATTCAGGGATGCATTTATAGAAGCTGAGTTTGAAATATACCTGATTGAATAGGCGTCTCATAACTGGCATTTTGTAAACACAATCCAATATGGTGGAACGTACACTTTCGTGTATGCTTATTTTCCAAAACATTCTAAACGAGTCTAGGCTTATCACCGACGTTTCAGAATTATCATTAGTTATTTGATAACCGTGATCACTAATATGCTATTTTTCCTACTTCAATTATTCGAGTAAATATCTGATATTTAGACTGCTAAACACACAGTTAATAACACCCTTAATTATGATTTGGCGAGATTTATGATGTACCTAATCTAAAGAAGTCACTTTCAGTAATTTTGCTTTGCCTTAAGTGACAGTAAATGATAAACAGAAGAGAGAATTCAAAACTGTGAAGTGTACTAGTTTGCGTGATGTATTATGAATTTTATTCAACTTCGAAGTGAGGGTTGAAGAGAAGGGACATATGTGTCGCTGTGGCATCCAGGTGGTTTACACTCTAAAAACCAATAACGTTGACATAACAACAGATAATGTAACTGATAATAATAACAAACAAACTCGTAGACGAGATAAGTTGTTTATTATTATTATTAATTACACGGTCCTGTTATTCAATACAGACGTAGGTGAACATTCAACTGAAGCACGAGCAACTTATGAATGACTTACACTCAGGAAAGTAGTCCGTCATCATTTGACCTCAGGTCATTACCATGGAGTAGCCAATCACAGGCCTGGAATTCAATCTCACACCTATGTTTGATACCAGTTATCTCAAATGGGTTTCTCACCCACAGGTGTGTAAGAAACTTTCTTCTTATAGTGGCATATTGTTCACAAATAAATATCACATGGTATTCATCTTCAATATATTTATAGTTTTTGAACAAATAGAAATAGCAAAACCATTCATTATGGGGAGTGTAACAGTTCCACATTTAAACAGAAAATATATATCTTAATGTAATGTAATGTGGAATGTCATTTGTTAAATAATGAGTGGACATAGTGATTTCATTGTGAAGATAATTCCATTGAAGAATGCCAGTTTTGATACAGGTTATCAGACAGTCTTTACTGATATTCATTTAGAAATAATGTTATATCACCCCAAACCTAAGCTGAACAAAATGTTTTTAATTGATATAGCCCATGTCCCTCTTCCCAACTCATCAAGTGATTTTAGTGAGTGAGTGAGTGAGTATGGTTTTACGCCGCTTTTAGCAATATTCAAGCAATATCACGGCGGGGAACACCAGAAATGGGCTTCACACATTGTACCCATGTCGGGAATCGAACCCGGGTCTTCGGTGTGACGAGCGAACGCTTTAACCACTAGGCTACCCGACCGCCCCTCAAGTGATTTTAGAATAAAGAAGGCGTGACATGGTAATCTGTGAGAGTCAAGATGAGGTATGTTGCTGCTCTTGTCTTTTCTTTGTTTGTTTGCTTGTTGTTTAACGCCACACTCAGTAATATTCCAGCTGTACGACAGCGGTCTGTAAATAATCCAGTCTGGACAAGACAATCCAGTGATTGATATCACGAGCATCGTTCAGCGCAATTGGGATACGATGACATGCATCAACCAAGCCAGCGAACCTGCCCACCCAATCCCATTAGATGCCTCTTACAACAAGCACAGTCGCCTTTTACCGCAAGAATGGGTTGCTGAAGACCTATTCTACCCCTGATCTTCACGGGTCTACGGCTTGACAGATGAAGATACTGTTTACAGAAGGATATTTGGACAATTGCAATTAATTTGTTGTATGATGTTTCCCAAACTTCACATCTGTAACACAAGATCGGAACGACAACTCTGTAAAATATCTTAAAGGCATCTTGAAATGATAGGTACCAATTTTCCTTTTGATATAAGCTGATGAATCTGATTTGTTTGCTTGAGCTGTTAGACTACTGAAAGTCTTAGTACTCTTACTCCACTACAACTTGGGGGTGAAAACTGTTCCTAAATATTTATAACAATTCACAATTTCAATTTTTCTTTTCTAAATAATATTTTTTGTAGCTTTTCAATATTCCACCTCGTCGAAACACAATAAGTTTAGTTTTGTGTAAATTGACTTCCATTCCAGCGGATACACAGATATTTTCGAGATCATTTATTTTCTTTTGCAACCATAAAGCACTGTCTACTACAGACAATACATCGTCTGCATATAGTAATGCAAATATATGTGGAATCTCACTACTGATAAATATGGCTTGACCACCATTTTTATCCAACATCACTGTGAGTTCATTTAAAAACATAATAAAAAGTTTTGGGCTCAAAATACATCCCTGACGGGTGCCGACATTACAGGTGAAATAATAAGAAAGACCATCCTTCATTTGAACACATCGATGCTATTATTCATGGAAAGTTCCCATTTATTCCCACTTGACTAAAAAGAATGGAATGGTTTACTATGTTGAAAGCCTTTGAAAAGTCAATAAAGATGCAGTAAAATATACCCTTTGTCTTTGAAATGTATTTGTGCACAGTTGCTTGAAGAGTAAGTATTTGGTATATGGTGAATATCCTGGTACAAAACCTGCTTGTGTTTCACTAAAGATACTGTTATTGTCACACCAGGAGTCAACATCTTACATCAAGTGTCAATGAGAGATTACCCCTGTAATTGTCTGGGTCATCCTTATTACCTCCCTTGAATATAGGATACATTATGTTCTTTCCCCACTCCTCAGGAAAAACTGCAGCGTGAAGGATTCTTTTAAAATAGGTGCAATTCAATGTCCTGTTGATTTCATAAACTCATTTGCAATACTGTTAGGCCCAGGAGATTTATTATTTTTTAAATTGTGCAAACTCATAAGATTGTTTGTTTGTTTGTTGGTTAACACCGCACTCAGCAATATTCCAGCTACATGAAGGCGGTGTTTAAATAATCAAGTCTGGATCAGACAATCCAGTGATTGACATCATGAGCATCAATCCAGGCAATTGGGATATGATGACATGCATCAACCAAGTCAGTGAATCTGACCAGCCGATCCCGTTAGTCTCCTCTTACGACAAGCATCGTCGCCTTGTACAGCAAGCATGGGTTGCTCAAGATCCGATAGGTATCACGATACTTGCATGTGCTCTCATCTGTGGTGCCTAAACCATCTTTTTCAAAGACAGGATGGCCAAATACCTGGCACGCTGACGATTTACAGTTGGTAGTGTCAAGTATGGCACAACAAATGAAATAATTTATGTTTTCATTATAAACATGCACTACTGGTTAGTGTTTAGTGGAACAGTTATTAAAGCAAACATTTAAGATCAGAATTGATATTTTTTACTTAGTGTGCGACTGTGATGGATACTTGTATCGAGAAGTAAAAAATCGTGATTCACCGATGTATCAGTGTATCGTCCCACCGCTAATTCTACCCCAGATCTTCATGGGTCACAAACTCATAATGACTTCCTCATCAGTGAAAGGCATGTTCAGATCATCACATATGTCTGTGTGAGACAAAGCTGGATCCTCAATATGTGTATCTTATCAGAGAGTTATAATCACAATCAGTGTGTTTCTCATACAATGTCTTAGGTTATGTTTTTTGCTTACGTGAATAGAACAGAACAATGGGAAATGAGAAGATTCTCCATGATGAATCCCAGAATCAGTAAAGTCAGTCAACAGCCCACACTGGCAATAATGTAATCCACTACACATTGTGAGTAACACAAGCAAACTGACCAGGGCCCACTTGCACAAAACAATCTTAGTGCTAAGATGATTGTAGCTCGCATACTTAACATTGACTTTCGATAATCTTAGTACTAAGATGGTTTTGTGCAAGTGGGCCCTGGTCAGTTTGCTTGTGTTACTGACCATAGGTTTCTGGCGTGTCCAAGGGACGCAACTCTGCACAAGGAATGCCCCTGGGCAGCCATGAGTCCTGACCTTACTCTCAAACACTATGTCTGGAACATGATCGGGAGGGCCAAGGGCCATTTGCTACGTTAGACAAACTGGGCCAGGCACTGCAAGAGGAGTGGCAAGATTCCCTCAAACTTTCAATGGGAGACTGATTCGGACCAAGCCATGCCCAATAAACATAGGTTTGACCAACATTCATATTTATACTACACACACCTGTCATCACTTTTGGTTGTTTGCACCCTTAAAATACACTGTCAACAAGATCTGTTGATTGTCATGTTTCACCGAGTCCTTCCCCCTTCTTATCCATCCTTTACCGTCACACAATACCTCCTTGTATTTCTGTAATCAACTGTTGTCTTCAAATAACCCCTACTTTTTGGGGAGAGTATACCTGTACATGATGAAACAAACCTTCAACAACCCATATCGTGATACGATCTAAATAGGCAGCTATATTGAGCAAATTCATAACTATGAATATTCATGATATGAGAAAAGTTCTTTGAGATTTATTTCTTACGATATTTTCAGTAATTCAAGGTCAAAACTGTGATTAATTTAAAGTCAATCACCCATCATATGGTATTATTACATCTCTATTAAGCATCTTGCAATTCCATTGGTTAATTTGTACCATGTGACAAAACAACACATTTGAATGTTGACCTCAAAATCATGTGACTGACACTGACCTCGAATAGTGATTCGTTACATGATCAGTATTGACATGTCGTGTGATGAATATTGAATCGTCTGCTAGAAAACATGATGGCGTCTGGTACTGACATTTCACGATTCGCAGCTAAGTTACCGTAATGAAACAGAGGTTGGCTTAGAGGATTCCTAAACTTTAAAGTGATTTTCGGTATAAGTGAATGATTGCCAGGTCAATATGCAAAAAGGACCCAGGACCTGACCCCTGATGTGGTCTGACTGGACCAAGGCTGCACGTCAAAAGTAATTATTTGTAAATAAAAATCGGTTATTAAGTGATCCAAACACTATCAAACAGTCTGAGCAACAGTGGTGAGTGTACAAACACACAACCTGTATTTACTCTTGGATCATTTGTTTACACTGCAATGTTCACAATTGAGGGGAATCCTGCATCCTTGACGTGGTCTCCAATGGTGCTTGAATCTAGGGACCATCAGGGTTAAGACAAGGACACCTTGACTTTCCTCCTTCATTTTGATTACTGTACTGTAAATATCTCTCACAATGATACTCCCAGAGAGCAATAGAAACTAACAGTTTTACCCCACTAGTCCTTATAATGATAACATATAGCAAAACCCTTAAAAAGGGCAAAATTCAATTAGTCAATTAAGGACACCTTAACTTTTGGGCAGTTCGGTAAGGACTAGAGGACAAGCGCCAATTTCTAACACTTCAAGATAATGACATCTTAATATTTGTACATGGCGTAAGGAAGCATATATTGTACTTTCATAGTTATCATGTCATCAGTAACCATGGTAACACCAAAACAATTTTCAAACAGATAAACATGATAAAATTTGCTTTGTAACCCAACGGAATATGAAATACTTTCAGGGAGTGAGTAAAGCTGTTTCACAGATAGATTCTCGACTAGGCAAACACAAAGTAACATAATGACACACAATCAGCAAGATCTCACATTGTATTCAAAACCAGCAAACACCATTGATGTGCTGTCCACAAGATCTGTAGGAGTGCCAACAGCTAACAGTGGTGAAGAGTGAAAATGTTCATACCATCATAATTACCTGAAGAGTGGCTCGACCTCCGGCCAGAATCTTTCTTCTTCTTGATGGCCTCTTCCTCGGGGATGTCACTGAATACAGTGTCTGTCAGGGGAGTCTGTGCGATCACGGCAATGTCACTCGTGCGGGACACCTTCTTGCGGTGTCCAGGCGTGAAGAAAAATATTTTCTCAGCTGAAGGGTTTGGCCAGGACAAGATACCCTTCTTGTCTACACAGCACAGAGACTGGAATAGAAACATTCAATTAGGAATACAGGAGATTGTTACAAGAATTTATTAATGAATCAGGATTTACCAAGTATTCCTAACTAATTGCCCTTGCCTGGCAAAATGGGGAAAACAAAGAAAAAGAATCGATACTTTGTTTAAATTGGGATTTTTTTCTAAGTTCTTATTTTCCTGAATTCAGAAGTATTTTAACAATGAATATTAACATTGCATTCCAAGCAATTATGTTACACTAAGCATTAATGCCTCTCCCTCTTTATTGGTCCTGTTATCTGTGAAATACAAGTCACCTGTACAAGCCATGATATAAGTTAAGGGGGGGACTTTGTTTTCTGTCATCTGCTTCTTTTCAATAAATGTGTAAAATGAACAAAGTTGATAAATCCCTCGCTACAACGCGACCTTCAGGGTCAAATAATTGATGAGCTTTATAGATGATCAGCGGTTTAACCGAGGTGGAGTTGTATCTCGCAGATGATCAACAAAACAGCATACATGCTCTGCCTACCTAACACGATCTACGTTGCACGTTTCAGAGTTTCAAAAAAGATTAGAATAGAGGTTCTATTCATACTAATTATTCAAAGTGTAAACAAATTTTAGCGAGTATTAATATGCGCAGTCAAAAAAACACCTCGTATCCCTTCAGAGAATTCACATGAATAAACAGGTATAACAAACTTGGTAAAAAAAATATGAAATTTGAATGAAATTTTGAATAAAATTAATAAAATATATTGCATTAGTCCAGATAAACAATGAATTATTTTTTTTATAACCAGATTTTATAAAAATAGGATTAAATTGCGTACTTCAGTTCTGATTTATTGACTGGTATTTCTAGTGTTACTTGATCGCGGTGATCAGCTGATAATATTGTTTGAGATGTGAGAAAACATTGTGTCATTTGAAAACTTGAGTTTGTTACAAATGTAAGTAAATTTTGAGAGCCATGCTTTACAGTGCACTATAACCGAGTTTACTTTATACTGAAGAGGTGAGGTGAGGTGAAATGGGGTTTAACGTCGCGTCCAAGATTATTGCACTTATATAGCGACGTGCATATACGTGTGTGTGTTTGTGTGGCTGCTTGTACTAGTCCGGACTGATGCCGATTTATAGTGCTAGCTCATTGAGATACCATGCCGCAGTTTAACATGAATACCCAACTCAGACACAGTATACCGACTCCGAGCCGACCAGTCCTTGTTTTAGCCCCTTTATGCCGAGAGCCAGACAGGGTAACAACAAGTACCATCTTTTAACGTCATTTGGAATGACGCGGCCTAACACTAGACCATGGAGGCGGTCCTATATTGAAGAGCGCTGTAGCGAGGGAACACTGTACCAGTATTCTTATCAATTGGACCAAAGAATGCATGCATAAGACATAAAGATAAACCTGTGATAAATTAGATGTGTGGTATGATAAATTTGTTGTCCACCTCGGGTGACACGAGTTGAAGCACCCTCTATGTTAGTTTATTGTAGTAACATATGATAAACTAACAGAGAGAGTACATCAACCCATGACCCCTCGGGTCAGGTGGACAACATGTGTTATAACATGTCTGAATGTCATTGTATGGGGTGATAGCAAATCATGGAAACTTCTGGCCCCACTTGCACAAAGTGATCATAACTAAGACTATTGTAAGCCAATGCTAAAGTATGGCAGTTACGATCATCTTAGCGCTAAGATCGTTTGAGCAAGTGGGCCCTGGACTAAGTTCTTTGGAAGAACTTGGACATTAACCACAAATGCACGTCAGGTGTGCCAGCATCAATTCTTTAATCAATGCTACTCATGGTACTTGTACTGACAAAGACTAATGAACTGACCGTCACACTGCCCAGCACATGGAGTACGTTAGCCTGTCTGGACACAACAGGAGCCGTTCCAGTGAACAGTTCCCTGAACCAGCGGAACACCAACTGCCCTGACATGTCCACCCGAGCCTCGTCCACAGAGATGGTGCTCATACTGTCAAAACTCTCATCCACCGCTTGCTGGAATCAGAATATTCAAATGGGAATACTTGTGCAAATGAGCCATGAAGTGCGGGTTAGAAAAGATCTTCAACAACTCATGCTTGCCATAAGAGGCGACTATGCTTGTCGTGAAAGGTGACAAACGGGATCAGGTATCAGGCTCGCGGACTTGGTTGATGCATCTCATTGTATCCCAAAATAAAGCAACTTGAATAGAATAGGATGTAAACATTGTAAATCTAAAATTCTATTAACATTGACCATCGTGACTAGATAAGTATGCAAAACATAATTCTCCATGAAGCCAATGAATGGCATCTTCCCCAGGCAAGGGAGTTAATTGAAACTGACTATAAAATTCCAGTTTCTGAACTAGGCTGCAATATGAAATTACAAGTCGATGCATAATACAATAAAAATCGCGTAACAAATTAGACATCCAGTTCATAAACAACATGGATTTCAACATGCAGATTTTGGTCGACTGCAGGATTTGCAAAGCATGTGTACTGCCAACTGGGGGTCGACAGCTATTTTGCAAATTCTTTCATGCATTTAACCAAGTTGTTCACATGATTTGATGCACTTCGTGGGGTAACACCTCTTTTGTTACAATATATACCTTGATTATCGATCAGATCGTTTTGACTGGGCACCGTCATTTTGTTTGAAGCAAATGCAAGTGATATGAGATATGGAATCTGATTGGTCAATAGATAGGACATAGAAGGGCCATAACTCGTAATGGACATTGGTGGCGCTACGATCAAGCCTGGAAATTCCAGCCTAGATCAGCAAGGGTGGGAACTGGACTTTTTTTATGCCGCTTTTAACAGTATTCCAGTTCTATCACCGCGTGTCAGCTTAATATGGGAGTAAAGCCCTAAGTGATGCAGGTGTCAGACGTTTACCACTTCGCTGAAACCCACGAGCATGGGTATGGTGCTGACAAACCTAGAAACATAATCGGGGCGAACCGGGATTCGAACCCACAATCATAGGTTTCTGGCGCTCCCAAGGGACGCATCTCTGCACAGCGAATCGTGGCGCCTTAGACGACCCACCCGTGCCCCCCCTATCGAGTTGACACCACATGTCCTATCACTGACTGCATATTACTAGGGTGTGTTAGCAGGTTAAATCATATCCTAATTGTGAAGTATAAAATGTAAATACTGGTGTGAACACTGCATAAAATTGTACTCGTCTATGTACATGACATAAAGAGTTTTGGTTTATTTTATCAATAAATAAATAACAAGAGATTCCAGGGCATTTTATTGGCTAACCAAGCAATTATTTTTGCTTTTATGTTTCCACAAACATCATAAACCAAAACATAATTAGGCATATACTAGCAGACTACTTTTTACAGATTGGTTGATAATTGAATGGGTTGGGCTTGTATCACATTGTTGCGGTGTTGCCAATAATTTCATCATGTTGTTTACAGTTTTTTGGTGTGTTAATGATTAAACAAGCTGTCTGTGAAAGAACTGACTTGAGTTCATTGAGTTACAAACAATGATAAAATAAACCAAAAATATATAAATTCCAATATTTTTCAGGGTTTTTTACTTTATAAAATGGATCAGTTTGTATTAAATTAAGTTTGGGGGCCATCTTCAAAACATTAATATTCTGTCTTGTTATCAAACTTATTCTTAATATATTGCTGACAAACTTCTCTCTTGCTGGACATGTACACCACTACTGCGAATCTATAGAGCAGGCAGAGTGATCTCCCTTTACTCATTTTCTCCCAGTCTATCATAATGACTATTACCTTGTCTAGACTGTACAAAACACTGTACATAAACATTTTGTTGAAGGGTGACCTGAGAAAACCTACAAATGACACTTCTTCTGCATGTTTCCTAAGAGTGTGCCATGTTGCCATCCAATGATCCTGATGACAATACACAATAGGAGCTGTATCACTCAAGAACCGTATAATTCCAAAGCTTGTTTGTGTATTTGTTATTTAACGCCACACTCTGCAAAATTCTAGTTGACAGCCTGTAAAGCATCAAGTTTTGACTAGATAATCCAGTGATTGATATTACGCGCAACCATTCAACCATCGGGACACAGTGACATGCTATCAACCCAGTCACCAAATCCAACCGTTAACAAGCAGCAAAGGTTGCTGGGGACCAATTCTAACACATATTCCCCACAACTTCAAATATGTTACTGAGGGCAAAATACAGTAAACTACCGGTACCTTAAATCTCCTAGCTACTTCAAAGACGGAGAATATCCTTGCTTGGCCATAGATGTTGATAAGAACCCACATGATGGGGAACACAAGAGTCAGCAGGGGCAGCAAGCTGTGGATCTGCAAATAAACAGTCAGTTGTCGGACTAAATTATTTCTTTAATTACTGAAATGATTGCAAAGCCAAAATAGATATGAATAAGAAAAGTTAAAACCATCCTATTACTGGACAAAATACCCTTTTTTCCCAATTTGCCTGCAATGGAAACCTTAAATGCTATGTGAGTCCCTGGTATCCCTACACAGCTAATATGTCGAATTTGCACCAAAAACAAGCTCCACCTTAATACACCCCTTTATCACGTTCATATGATTGGTTGGTTTGTTGTTTAACGCCGCACTCAACAATATTACAGCTATATGATGGCGGTCTGTAAATAATCGAGTCTGGACCAGACAATCCAGTGATTATTGTCATGAGCATCGATCCACGCAATTGGGATACGATGACATGCATCAACCATGTCAGCAGGTCTGACTACCTGATTCCGCTAGTCGCCTCTTACAAGCATAGTCGCTTTTTACGGCTTGCATGGGTTGCTGAAGACCTATTCTAACCCGGATCTTCACAGGTCAACAAGGCTTTTAACAATATTCCAGTGAGTAAGTTGGATTTAAGGCTGCTTTTAACAGTATACCAGTTATATCACAGCATGTCAGCTGAATATGGGAGGAAAGCCCGAAGTGATGCAGGTCTCAGACGTTTACCACTTCGGTGAACCCACGAGCACAGGTATGATGCTGCCAAACCTAGAAACATAATCGGGGCAAACCGAAGTTATGAAGTCAATGTGACCATTACAACACACAGCCACCTACCAGGAGAATGAACAGCATCTCTGACCAGTGGCCAACGTGGTTTTCCTGGTACGTCAATCTCAACACATTGGTCAGCGTCATTATAACCTGCAACCAGACAACAGAAACATAAGACAGTATGTAAACGCATTTGTTGCTTCCCCAAATCTCCAGGTCTAAAGGCAATACTAATTTCCAATATTACATTTTGACCAAGGTGATAAGGTTTGTTTCTTCGCTGTTTAGTGCCGCACTCAGTAATATTCCATCTATATGATGCTGACCTTTAAATAACCCAGTCTGGACCATACAATCCAGTGACAGATATGAGCAATGATCCTCGCTGTCCGGTTACAAAATATTCCCCAGGCAAGGGAGTTAACTACCTGTAACAGTCCAGTTTCCACCCTTGCCGATCTAGACTGGAATTATGGAGTTATATTTTGGCTGGACTATCAAGTCTATACATCATGATACACAGTCCAATCAAAATTGTGTAAAGAAATTGACATCTGGTTCGTAAACAATATGGATTTCAACTTGCAGATGTTGGTCGACTGCACGATTTACAAAGGATGTGTACCGTCAACTGGGTATCTTTTCAAGTTTTTAATCTAAGTGCTCATATGATTTCATGCACTTCGCGAGGTAAGACCCGCTTTATTACAATACAGATCTTGATCATTGATCATAATCGACTTGACTGTGTGCCGCCATTTTGTTTGAAGCAAATGCAAATGATACGAAAGGTGGAATCTGATTAGTCAAAAGGAGTGCATAGAAGGGACATAAATCTTAATAGCCACTGGTAGTGCTAGTATCAAGCCCAGAAATTCCAGTGAGTTCGGTGAGGGTGAAAACTGGAAAACTTTTATAATCAGATAACGCTCTTGGTTAGGGAAGATGCAAAACATGTCCACGCTTGAAGAAAAAAGTGGAAAATGTGTGAGAAGATATTTGAGCGAACGAGTGTGTGACTCATGCACATCTCCAAACATGTGGCCGACTGAAGACCTACCACTCTAATTCATGTACGTAAAAAAAGGCCAATACCCCTAAAACATATGCACACCTCTAAAATAATAAGAAAACACAATTGAGCAAACGTGAAAGGACGGAGAGTCACACAACAAAAGGATTCGAGAGCCAACCATAAACCTGATTGGCCAAGGTGGGGCAACAAGTAGGAAGGGGAAGTTACATGGCATGAGGGGAGCATGCGTGGTGGTGGCTTCCGGTAGGGGAGTATTTGGGTGCTGTGTTATGGGATTCTGGAACAAGTAGAACAAATAGGAAATTGCAGACAGTCTTAGCAGGGTAAGAAATAATTTGAACCGTTTATGAGCAATGCTCCGGAAACAAACCCTACCCTGTTTTCAATATGTGATGAGCTATGTTTAGGAAACGAGAGTTATCAGAAGATGACAAATCCCCGTCCCCAAAATAACTTCAACCTCTGGTTAATACATATTTGGATGAAAAAACTTTTACAGTGTTCAAGTTATGCTCCGGAAATGAAATACAGACAGACGGACAACCAGACATACCAGATGATGACTATATCCCCCCACATTATATGTGGGCGATAAAGTGTGACGAACAGATGAAGCCTGTTCCTATACCTCCCACAAAACAACTTTAGAGTGAGGGATAACATTGAAAGGCTCATCTACTCTGCTTAAAAGGGTCAATGGTAAACATTTGAAGAAAAATGATTGAACTTCTGAACTGAAATATTCTGTCTGCTTCTTTGTGCATACCAGCGACACAAAGGAGTCACAAGACTGGCCATCATACATGAAAGTTGTTTACTGCATACTGCAAGAATACGGTAATCTCACTTTACAAAATGGCCACTGAAATCAGAGTTCAACTCCAGCAAAAAAAACTTGACAAAATTTGAATCTGTATTTGACATTTATAAAAACAAAAACAGTAACACTGTCATTGGGTTTAGCAAGGTAAGGCTCCCTTTAAGTCTGGTGGCATATATGATAAGTTCTCTGAGAATAAGGAGCACCAGGCTAGAAGACAAGACTTACATAATCAACAAGGAATTTAATCACCTACAGAGTCACTGAAGGAGATTACAGATTACAATCTAAGAGTGAAGTACATGACATGACCAAATTATTACCAATGATATCAGTACTGCATGGGACCAGTGAACAAACTATGCTTGCCGGAAGAGGCAACTAACAGGATAGGGGGGTCAGGCTCGCTGACTTGGTTAATGCATGTCATCGCATCCCAATTACTAGATCGATGCTCATGATGTCAATCACTGGATTGTCTTGTCCAAACTTGATTATTTACAGACCGCCGTCACATAGCTTGAATATTGCTGAGTGCGGCTTTAAACAACAACAAACAAACAAAAGTACTGCATAGATCACGGACCATGCTGACAAATATCTGCTTTCATAAAAGCAATAATGGTACACAAAGTAGAAAATATCAATCTTTCACTGATCGTGGAAAAAATTGTTATAAATGATATAATACACACCAGGACCAGCGGTATTATCCTCCTCTCCAGCCACACTTGAACCAGCAGATGGCGTTCATTGTCCAGAATACTCACTGGTCTAGAAATGTCATCCCCAAGAATATCCCTGCACAAGAAGATCACAATAGATGAACATATTGACATAGTTTGGGGGGAAACATTAAGTGGTTTCAGATCTGCAGATGTTATTGAGTACTTGATGAGCAGGAATGATGCAACCTCAAGAATACACTGTCGCTTCCAAATCAAATTTATTTCGTGGTCATTTTAATATCTGACACTTCCAGCTGACGATGCCAGTTCCCAATGAAATTCTTGGCATTAAATTTTCAATAAGACCAACAAATCTGGAAGCTCATAATGTTCATTGACCTTGTTCATCGACATTGTAAAATACAAACATTTTCAGCAACTTTCTATGGCACTCTCTTTACTTGAACGCACCCTTACCTGATATTTTGCAGGAAAGGCGTCTCTAGCAAGAGAAACTTCCTTGTCTGAAGAGGCACCCTACCCTGGGGGCCTGCCAGGGAATCGCTGACCCCTTCTATCTCCGGGGAGTACACCTCTCCCGCCATCAGCACCAACTCCTGGGCGTCATCACTCTCCTGCCACAACAACAGTATGTGTAACATACAACATTTGGTTATTGATACCAACAACATCAATGTTTTATCACGACCAGCTATATGTCCTGTGACCGGTGAAGATCCGGGGTAGAATAGGTCTTCCGCAACCCATGCTTGCTGTAAAAGGTGACTTTGCATGTCATAAGAGGCGACTGACGGGATCGGGTGGTCAGGCTCGCTGTCTTGGTTGATGCATGTCATCATATCCCAATTGCGTGGATCGATGCTCATAATGTCAATCACTGGATTGTGTGATCCAGACTCAATTATATAGACTGACGTCATATAGCTGGAATATTGCTGAGTGGGGCATTAAACAACAAACAAACAAGCATCACCACCTACTTAATTCAGAATAATAAATCAGAAAATAAATATAGTTGATATTGTTGATAAACTTCACTAGTTACAGTAACAGCCTTCATGGAAATGAAACCTCTTATCTCTATCAAAAATATCATCACAAAAGTTATCTCCCTTTTCCCTGATTATCATCATCCTTGTACATCATATTCTTCGTATATCTCATTAAAACCAGATCATAGTTCTAGCTAGTCGTTACTGCTACACAAAGATCTGAGGACATCCTATTTCAGGTCACAGCAGAAAGACCATTCACAAACTCTGACCGACCAATGAAATGATTAACAAAAGTTGACATTACCTAATCAGGAAGAAGTTTTCCCAAACTCTATGGCACTAGTTTGTAACTGGCAACTTCCATTTCAGACAATACTTTGAAAAATAAATTTTAACAAAATTCAAAATTTGATAATTGAACAAAAGAAAATTCTGGAATGTCTAATAGATCGCTCGTCAAGCCGAAACCCTGTGATCGGGCTATGGAAAGTCTCTTCCATGTAAAATGTTCATCCCATTGCAGTGAGAGACAGACGATGATTTTGACGGAATCAGTCGCATAGCCCGTAACCATCATTTGGAATACCCCATATTAACCTTTTTAAGGCTGCACGATTAGAAAACACATTCTGAATATCACATTCCACTCTGGGTCGTTCTGACATGACCAGAAATGGATGTCCTCAGATCTTTGTTTCGCGACAGCTAACGCTAAAATCTGATTTTAATAAGATTGATTCTTCAAAAGAATGGATCGACTGTCTTGATACCTGGACATTCTAATTTCATAGACTTGATTGCTATGTTATCAAGAAAATGTATATGTATGTCATTGACACATTTACTCGTTGAATTGCTGGAACTACACGTCACTTTAGTGCAGCTGCTGGCCTTTATCTACAACACTGATGATTCAACTATCTTGAGTTACCTCCAGCTCTCGACACTTGCCCGGCGCCACCTGCCCTGGCCGCAGCAGGATGATGTCCCCGATGACCAGGAGTGGCTGTGGTAGGTTGACCCGCTCCCCATCTCGCAGCGTCCACTGCAGGGACACACAGGGGGTCAAGGGGGATGTGCTGTTGGGGTAGTTGGAAGCGTTCCATTCTGTTATCTTCCTACAGTCTGAACAAGGAACAGATCATGGAGATAGTTGTCAGAAAGCTTGTCAAGCAATACAAGACATGTAAGACTGATTCTGATTATTTGTTTGTCATTTAATGCTGCACACTGCAACATTCCAGCTATGTGACGGCGGTCTGTAAATAATTGAGACTGAACCGCACAATCTAGTGATTAACATAATGAGCACTGATTCACTCTCAATTGGGATACGATGACATGCATTATGTTTTCAATGTATATAACTGTTCTAAATATAGAGGCTTGACTTGGAAAATAAATTAGCTCGTAATTGTGTCTCGGAAATTAGCTCCTTTGTACACATGCTGAAAAAGCTTCATTGGGTATTTGCGCATTCTGTCTTTATACATTTGAGTTTTTCATTTAATGCATGTGTCTCTGTACGCAAGTTAATTGAAAGTAATTGGTTTTGAATATTTTGGGGGGGTATTTATCAGTAGCTCTGCATAAAACATGATAAAAATAGTGGAAAATGGTCCATCTTAGGGTCCAACAATACCAAGACTTAATGATTGAGTTATGGAGCATGCAGAGGAATATCAAGAAATGTTGTGAATAGTGACTGAACATACAGGTGCAGGGCTTGATCTGGGCTGCATTACCACAGTATTGATGCATTATTGTTATAATTTACACATCAAAACTAGATGTCGTGGGCCCCGAGGGCGCATAGCTATTGTTCCATTTAAAACTGATTACAAGTTTTAAGTGAACTTCCGGATTTCAAATATGTTTTTGGTTTGAAGTTTGTCTTTTTTATTGATTAATAGCCTTTCTAATGATCAATGAAATGCCTCAGTTTCGTGTTATTCTGGCTAATAGGACCAGACGCTTTTGTCCTGTTTCGAGGCTCTAAAGTAATTATCAAAACAAACAGTACACAACACCATTTCATTACTTTACAGGACCCCCATATTGCCTGTAGGGACCCTTACAATTAATTATTTGGGAACCCCTACTTCTGTAAGTCAAGGTAAAACCCTGCATGCCCCCCAACATTCATGGAAAGGCCAACAATTTTCAAGGTCTTTGGGCCCAAGGGTCCACCTTAAAAAAATCCTAGGTTTATTACTGCAGGTGGAGATACATTTAGTTTACTTCCAACAAGTCCTGAGCTCCAACTAGTCCCTGATTATGTATGATATAACAATAATACTAACACAAGGAACTATCTTGTTACTCAGCAATATGTTTGTTTGTTTGTTTGTTGTTTAACGCCGCACTCAGCAATATTCCAGCTATATGACGGCGGTCTGTAAAATAATCGAGTCTGGACCAGACAATCCAGTGATTGACATCATGAGCATCGACCACCCCATCACGTTAGTCGCCTTTTACGACAAGCATAGTCGCCTTTTACGGTAAGTATGGGTTGCTGAAGACCAATTCTACCCCGGAATCTTCACGGGTCTCAGCAATATGTCTGAAGTAAAAGCCTGTCAAAAGTCCCAGCCAGTTTATAATTTACTTCAAAAAGGACCATCTCCGTGGTCTAGTGGTAGAGCATCTGCCCAGAGGGCGGAAGGTCCGGGGTTCAATACCCGGCCGCGTCATACCACAGGATGTTAAAAGATGGTACTTGTTGTTACCCTGACTGGTGCTCAGCATTTAGGGCTAAAACAAGGACTGGTCAGCTCAGAGTCAGAATACTGTGTCTGAGTGGGGTATTCATGTTAAACTGCAGTAAGGTATCTCAGTGGGCTAGCACTATAAATCGGCATCAGTCCGGACTAGTACAAGCAGCCAAACACACACATACGTGCATGCAATATAAGTACAATAATCTTGGACACGACAGCAAACCCCATTTCACCTCGCCTCACTTCATTAACAAGATGAGGACAAAAAAACAGCTTTAACACATAGTTTTATATTAATACAATGCAATACTAAATAGTTAATTACCACTTAATTTAAGGAAACTATTCCCAATAGTTTGGGCAAAATAAAGCTGTTATATCAGTTTGCCTGTCATTATCACATGGTTGAAAATCCAGTCGAGGTCATAAAAGAGTTGGCAAAAGCATGAGAAGTTAAATGATGAAAACACGTAATGTTCCTCACCCCATAACTTCTTCAGGACTCTCTTAATGATGTCACTGTACTCCCTGCGAGTCATCAGAACACAGCAAATATTGAGGGCAGAGTTGAATACGACAGCCAACACTAGGAAGAATGCCAATACTAGCCACCATGTACACATGCCAAACGGATTGCTGAAACAGTATACATTCACAGTTAAAAACGAGAGATTAGCATGAAAGTAATTGGGGAAATAAAGTGACACAAGTTACCTCCCTTTGTTTACTCATTTTCACTCAAGTGGACCTGATTCTGACTTAATTCATTAAATCTCCGATGAACATTAGCCAAGCACTAGCATTACGAATGACTGGGGGTGTGTGGATTTATCAATTCCAACACTAAATTGTTGCTGTCACTTTCCAACAGTTTCCAACAAAGGAGTCATGTATTTGTGATCAATTATTTTCCAATTAGAAGTTATTTTTTCAAATAATTATAACATGCTAAAGACAATATTGTGAAGCAAAACTCATAAGAACACCATCAAAATAATGCAGATTAAAGGTTTGAGAACAGATTGTGCTGTAGTGTTAATCTCCAAGGAAGGTGTAAATAGCAAAATAATAATGTGATGCTATATTTCTTCCTGTTCTTATTAATATCTGATGGTAAGTGATATTATACAGTAATGCATTTCATTACAATGAAGTCTTTTTAACTCGAACTCTATTAATGGTAGCCATCAAGTGATACTTAAAGACTTGAGTGAGTGAGTGAGTATGGTTTTACGCCGCTTTTAGCAATATTCAGCAATATCACAACAGGGGACACTAGAAATGGGCTTCACACATTGTACCCATGTAGGGAATCGAACCCGGGTTTCAGCTTGACGAGCGAACGCTTTAACCACTAGGCTACCCGACCGCCCCCTCAAAGACTTGAAGACCGAAAGTAACATCTGACCTAAATAGGGTGAGTCTAAACTTACTACCGGGTACCCTGCCCCCTATTACCCGACCCTACCCCGATACCTGCTGTAGGCCTCATGAGATAGGTACAAAATGTCCGATTGGGAATAGTTTGACCGTAGCTATGAACAAACTGGTCATAGATACACTGAAGTTTTATCCTTATTCTAACATAGAAAAGCCAGAAAGAATGGGTGCATAGTCAGAAAGAAATGCAAACATTAGTGACTTGTAGTGTAGCCATATAACTCTAGATCATTTTTGTCATTAAACAAAATATGACATGACTAACCACGGGTCTGGGTAGTCCTGTGGGTACCCAGGTCCTTCTCAGTACCCACCTGACCCAAGTACCTGAGTTACCCGTCCCAGCCCTAGACCTAAACATTTTGTATGTCACAATAGAATTCTCATTTTGCAAACAAGACACAAGAGTCTTAACTACCAGTACATTGATTGGATGTACACTGTAAACACACCAGTTTTTAACAAAAACAAGGGAGTGTCCTGGAGTGTTTTGTTACAAAAAGCTCACACCCAAACAGACTGTGAAGCCAGAAGAAGATTAGGCATGCCAACACTGACAGGCTTCACTGTGGTGTCTACAAAAAGGAAGTCATGGTGGTCTTATTGGCTCTGGTGTCTACAGAAAGGAAGTTTTGTGTCATGGTGATCTGGTGTCTACAGAAAGGAAGTAATTTGTCAAGGCAGTCTTATTCGCAAAACCCTTGGTATTAAAGAGTCACTCTTATATTTAATGTCCACAATCTTTAATATATGTGTAGACTAGGGCTGTTACGATTCACTCGCGTATTCGGTGAATCGAAACGTATCCATTTATGAATTGAATTCGTTATTCGTGGTCACTAGAATCGAATATTTATGAATATGCAGTCATGTGCATCTACATACCCTGTACCTAAAAATATCCCTAAGAACATATTATATGCAGAGATTTCTTTAAAGACAACACTCATATATATAATTTGACAGTATTGTGGTCTACGGTCATTGTGGTATTTGAGCAGACACTAGTGAATAAATATTCGTATTCGTGATATGAATCGTATTCACCTCATAGTGTATTTGTTGCAGCCCTAGTGTAGACATACATGGGTAGACACCAATGTCCATTGGTCTTATCCAACAATCCAGCTCATTTCGGACTATTGGCTTATGAAAAATAACTAGATTTTTGGAGAAAACTAGTCACCTAGATTTTCACTAGATTTCTGACCATGCATATCTCTGAAATATTGAAGATATTTCTGGACTAATGAAAAATGAAACATTCTGAGGCTATAGACAGAACAATAGGTCCCAACAGAAGCCTCTTAGATAAGCATTATGCTTGACTAGACCTTCAGCATATTCAGATGTCTTGATGAATTGTTCATGATCCCAAGAATGGGTGCATAGTCAGAAAGAAATGCAAACATTAGTGACTTGTAGTGTAGCCATATAACTCTAGATCATTTTTGTCATTAAACAAAATATGACATGACTAACCACGGGTCTGGGTAGTCCTGTGGGTACCCAGGTCCTTCTCAGTACCCACCTGACCCAAGTACCTGAGTTACCCGTCCCAGCCCTAGACCCAAACATTTTGTATGTCACAATAGAATTCTCATTTTGCAAACAAGACACAAGAGTCTTAACTACCAGTACATTGATTGGATGTACACTGTAAACACACCAGTTTTTAACAAAAACAAGGGAGTGTCCTGGAGTGTTTTGTTACAAAAAGCTCACACCCAAACAGACTGTGAAGCCAGAAGAAGATTAGGCATGCCAACACTGACAGGCTTCACTGTGGAGTCTACAAAAAGGAAGTCATGGTGGTCTTATTGGCTCTGGTGTCTACAGAAAGGAAGTTTTGTGTCATGGTGATCTGGTGTCTACAGAAAGGAAGTAATTTGTCAAGGCAGTCTTATTCGCAAAACCCTTGGTATTAAAGAGTCACTCTTATATTTAATGTCCACAATCTTTAATATATGTGTAGACTAGGGCTGTTACGATTCACTCGCGTATTCGGTGAATCGAAACGTATCCATTTATGAATTGAATTCGTTATTCGTGGTCACTAGAATCGAATATTTATGAATATGCAGTCATGTGCATCTACATACCCTGTACCTAAAAATATCCCTAAGAACATATTATATGCAGAGATTTCTTTAAAGACAACACTCATATATATAATTTGACAGTATTGTGGTCTACGGTCATTGTGGTATTTGAGCAGACACTAGTGAATAAATATTCGTATTCGTGATATGAATCGTATTCACCTCATAGTGTATTTGTTGCAGCCCTAGTGTAGACATACATGGGTAGACACCAATGTCCATTGGTCTTATCCAACAATCCAGCTCATTTCGGACTATTGGCTTATGAAAAATAACTAGATTTTTGGAGAAAACTAGTCACCTAGATTTTCACTAGATTTCTGACCATGCATATCTCTGAAATATTGAAGATATTTCTGGACTAATGAAAAATGAAACATTCTGAGGCTATAGACAGAACAATAGGTCCCAACAGAAGCCTCTTAGATAAGCATTATGCTTGACTAGACCTTCAGCATATTCAGATGTCTTGATGAATTGTTCATGATCCCAAGGAAATCAAGTTGACATGGTTTCACTGCTAGTTATTTCCATATAGACCAACCTGATCACAGGAATATCTACATTCACTATGTTTTTATATAACATATAACTTCTCATTCCAGGTTCAAGAACATTCAAGCAACTTGTTTTTACCCATACAAATCTATATTGTTTCATGTAGGTAATAAGTATGTGACAAAGGAAGAAGGACCTACCTAATATTGATATGAATAGCATAAGTAGCTATGAGAACACATGCTAGTAAAACTGCACAGACTGCCGTTGTCCAGTGGTACAGCGACTGAACATTTGTGTGCACAAAACTGCGTAAGAGTTTTAGCCAATCCCTTTTTTGGCAGTCATATTTGTCGATCTCTCTTTGTAGCTCTTGACACAGGACAAACAGTGCGTCTTCTGTTGTATAACCATTGGTCACCCTTGGACTTCCTTCTACATCAAGGGGATCCTGAAACATAACAATGTGTAGATACTATTACCGATATCAATTGGAATTGATCAGATGTAACAGGTCTAGGTGTGAGGGGGCACGGGTGGCCCAGTCGTCTAAGGCGCCACGATTCTCTGTGCAGAGTTGCGTCCCTTGGGCACGCCAGAAACCTATGATTGTGGATTCGAATACCGGATCGCCCAGATTATGTTTCAAATTTTGTCAGCACCATACCCGAGCTTGTGGGTTTCACCAAAGTGGTAAACATCTGAGACCTGCATCACTTCGGGCTTTCCTCCCACATGAAGCTGACACACCGTGATATAACTGGAATACTGTTAAAAGCGGCGTTAAACCCAACTTACTCACTCACTCAAGGTGTGAACCTCTTATCAAACATCGCAAGAGGCATACTATAATTCATCATCATCATGCTTATAATCATTTGATAATGCTTATAACTTATAGCATGAATAGGTATGAATATATATATATATATTTGAGGCTCGCCAGAATGTACAGTAGGAAGAACCATATTGCAAATTGGTTTTATATTTGCAAGAATAGGCTGAAATATCAAAATATGATATTCATCAACTACCCTGAAATGCACTGTACACAGATGATTAGTAAATATTACCTTAGCATGATTAGTTCAGAGCTAGATTCATATGAAAATGCTGAGTAAAATTGTAAAACTTATCCTTCTGTACATGTCACAGAGCAGCAGCAGTGCAGTCATGCCCCTGTACCCTAGTGGGTTGCATTGCTCATCAGTGCCATGGTGATGAGTGTACGCAACTCATCATTTACTGGTCATCAAAGATAGATATAATGTCACGATCCCTGATGTTGGCAACTTTGGTGATTATGAATGCAAAATACTTTTTGTGAATTAACTTCAATTTAGTCTAGTTCAAATCTCACTCCTTGAAATGTTTTTCGTCCTCATTCTTATTATTTTGTTACATACAAGTAGTGCACCATACATGAACACAAATCGAAAATCTTAGTGTATGTTATTGTTTTTTACTTTTAGAAATCGCTATTCGTTGGGTCGACTTAAAGGTCAAAATTACGTGATAATCTGATATTAGTTTCTGTCGACCATATCAGCATGATCAGCATACAGAAACGATACCAAACTAGATCTAACAAAAATACATATCCTAATTTCGTTCCGCGTTTTGGCTTCTTGGTCGTGCCCTAACTAACGTTAGGTGTGTTTGTGTGTGTTGGTTTTTTTGGGTGTGTGTTTATGTGCGATCCCAATGAGAGACTTATTGGGTGAAAGATTCATAATTATTTCGTCGTTGTGGAGCACAGATATGCCATAGAAGAGAATATTGGGACATATACTAAATCACGTTCAAATGCGAGCATCAATTCTCATCTGACGTTGCACGCTGTCATTTTTCTCATTCATTGTGTCATTTTGTAAACACCATTCACACCACGAATCACGACTGCTGATAAAATTGTGTGATTCGACCTTGCTAATATTTCGGGGAACGTGGGTTCCGGACCCAAATCTGTATTATTTTCAATCCGTTTCTCCAAACAGTTACACAGGAAATGCTACAAAATTTCTGGACATCGCAGAAAGTTACAGATAGACATAGTGCAAGTCTTATTCACATGTCAAGCTCACCATGGTTCACAGCAGACCGCCATATTATAACACTTCCGCTTACGCAGTCTTGATGTGTGATTGGTCGAGATGGGAACAACCCTCCGTGATCCACCAATGAAAACCTTCGTTTGTCAATGCCAGCATGGACAATGCAGACGACGCAAGTGCTCATTTTGTCGTGATAGTTCTGTTTATCAAAGTTGCATGTTCGTTCTTAAAGAATTATATGGAACTGTTCACACTAAACTTATACAATAAGTAATATGGATACACACTGTAGGATGGGTTTTTTACCGTTTAGCTCTGTCACTACGTATCACGACTGACATCGGACTAGCGTGGATCGTTGCTCATAACATCAATCATTGGGTTTTCTGATTCTAACGCAATTATTCGTAGATCTATGACGCCTTCATATAGCTGGAATATTGCAAGCGTCAGTGCATGTCTTCGTATCCCGATTGCGTAGATCGATGCTCATGTTGTCAATCAGTGGATTGTCTGGGCTAGACTCGATTAATGAACAGACCGCCGTCATATATAGCTGATATCTACGTGTTAAATGGGGTTTCTGACGCTTAATTTTAACAAACATACATAGTTTTCTCGCTAGTCACAAGAACAAAGACAACATAATCTTAAAATCAAGCCATCACCTGAGTATTTACAATGTCTGTGTGACACCACGACCCTCGTTATTGTACTCGCGATAAACATGGCCGCCCGAAAACGTATGATTCGACGATAGAAATCTATATTGCTGAGTGCAGCATTAGACAACAAGCAAACACAATGTGACATCGAAAGGTTCTTGGTTGCCATAGGCCCCTAATGTTCAGCGTAGATAACCTTCACGTCTGTAGAAGAACTATGAAAGTATTTCTGTGATTAAAGATACATGGAAATATTGAACACAAAAACAATGGGTGGTGATGTTTACACCACTGGATATGAGAAAGTTGACGAATCATGGTCGAAAACGTCTACCCATCCGACATCCATGCATAAAATCCTTATTATTTGACGCGTTGATCAATAAGAAAAGAGAGATAACTCCCTGGCGCTTCATTGCATCGGATATGATGACGACAATAGGCATGCATGGAGCTGTTTCCAGTTCGGTCCAAATCTTCTGCGAGATTCACTGTGTTTGGCGCCATTGAAAACGTGTCTGGTTCTTTATCATTACGATGCAAACTTTATGGGGATTGTATCTTTAAAATTGTTGTGACAATTTCTACTTGTGTGTACATATTCCATAGTTTGCTCGCTCGATCTCAGCTGGTTGTCTTTGGCAGGCCTGCAAACGATATGGTCAATAACAGTACTCCTACACTAAACACCATTAGCCTATTATTACCAGCACTAATGCGACAGTCTATGTTCGATTTTACAGTTGTTTCAAAGTTTTCACCAACTACTGACCTTGATTGGCTCTCCTGCGACAAAAAATAACAACATAACTTATATATTCAAGAGGTTGGACAAGGCGCAAAGAAAAGTTGAAGCAATGCATATATATCCACCTACTGATGGAAGTACCCATAAACTGTCATAAAACGCACATGTGCAACCCATAAGTTAAAAGTATTTGTAATCTGCATGTCATACCTTCAGAATTAGGAATGAGAATATCATTATGGCACATTTAATTTTAAATATTCATGTCATATGAACGTAGAAAACAACGTTGCCCAGTGTCCATTACCTATTACTTATCTATGATAACGTAAGTACTGGCTTCCATACCATCAGCGCTAATTACTGCAAAGTGTTGGCTTCCATTGTCTATTGCTAATCTCCTATCAGCGCCAATCATCTGTTAGCTTCCCTTGTTAGTTTCTACCCTTAGTTAGTTTCTACTATAACTCTAAAGTTTTTTTAGTGTTTGTAGGGTACTGTATGTAAAGTTTAAAGCTAAAATGAAACATCTAAAATATGTAACTTATATGTACAAATACTTAAAACATGACTTGGCCACAGTTATCTTCCACCTTTTGTTATCTTATTAATTTGGTTGTCCTTACATGTAGATGTATATATGCTCTCTGTCTCATGGCATTTATACACCTGATGAAGGAGTAAGCATATACTCCGAAACGCTGTGTTCCTCATAATAAAGAAGTTGACATCCATATATTCTCTTCCCTAAGTAATATGTTTTCACAACAATGACGTCCTGAAACATTTGTTACTGTTTTCAAGGAACTGTTTCAAGAGGTATGAGGTTGACGCAATCAAAGTGACATACATGATACTGTTGACATTGATATATCTACAGTGGTAAAGATATTAATATTTTTTTTCCTTTTAAAAGTAATAGCTACATAGTTGTAATATTATTGAATAATGAAGTTGATAAATTGAGACATGCAGATATTGTTAAAATTGAAACCCACGACGTTGTGAGTGCGTTTGTTATTTTTAACCATGAACCATACTTCTAATGAGCGTTACCTCCCAAATGGTAATATGTTTACTCCTGTACTGGTACTCCGCCCTTCGGCTCCGAGCGGCTGCAGGCGACGAGCGCAAGAGCTCTCGGGCTGGTAAACCAGTCTAGGACAGAGCTGTTTAGTGTAATGAGTAACTATTAGGAATGTTTTTATAGTATTTTCATAATTATTTAAAAAAGTATTTCGTATGTACACATGTGAAACAAAGATAAAGTTTCTTTTAAAAGTTTGGTTACATCTGTTCAACTAATATTCATCCACATGTAACTTTTCTCCAACCAAACACAAATGAAGCAGTCAAGATATAAGCCGAATATTTTAGTTATTATTGGAATTCTCCTTTAATCTAACAACCGCAATTAAAACTGATGTAATTAATTCTTCTAGTTTGTTGTAATTATCTTTATTGACGTCTTCAAACAACACAATCGTAATGTGCTGCGCGTAAGGTTCCACATTTAATTTAAATAGCGCGATTAAATGTACAGGTATCTTTGCTCTTCATTGAAAACACATATTTGTTTTAATGATCACACAATTTAACAGCTGTCGACTATAATTAACTCGCGGGTAACCCCGACTAGGCTAACATACTAACGGATAAAAAGTTATGTGTATGGTTCCATGTAAGCAACTCTACAAAAAAAACATCGAGTGTAAAGGAATTACCAAGCTGCTTACGTTTCCGAGATGAAAAGAGTGATGGTGGTGAAGTGGGGTTTAACGTCGCGTCCAAGATTATTGCACTTATATAGCGACGTGCATGTACGTGTATGTGTTTGTGTGGCTGCTTGTACTAGTCCGGACTGATGCTGATTTATAGTGCTAGCTCACAGATACCATGCTGCAGTTGAACATGAATACCCCACTCAGACACAGTATACTGACTCCGAGCCGACCAGTCCTTGTTTAAGCCCTTTAATGCCGGGCGCCAGACAGGGTAACAACAAGTACCATCTTTTTACGTATTTTGATATAACGCGACCGGGGATCGAACCCCGGACCTTCCGCCCTACCACTAGACCACGGAGGCGGTTCGAGATGAAAAGAAGGTGAGCAGGTCCTGGTGATGCTAAGGCTGAGCAGTAATTGAGAATCGATAAATGGGATGATTGCACAAAATATATGCTCCAGGGTCCCTATACTTCCCATTGGGATATGACTACTGTTAATTCTTTTGTGGGAATAGTGGATTCATTAAGATCACGGATTTGGTTATTGTCAGTACAAGTACGTGTTGACTGTGTAAGAATCACCCCCTAAATATTTAGCTATAAAACATAGCACTGTGGTGAAATACATTGTGATCCAAAATGTTAAATACAATTATTTTTTTCTTGATATTGCTCGTGTATGGGAATTAAGCCTGTGCAGAATTAAAAAATCTAAAAGTGACCGTAAATGTTCTTGAACTTTTAAAATTTGTAATGGTGAATGAATAACAATATATAAAATCATAGGTTGAAAGAGTGACTATATTACCGACAGTAACACCAAACATCGGATGATGACTCACACAGTCTCACTTACACCATTTAACGTCATCATGACAGCCATGTTTCTCCTATGTCAGAGCGACTAACGCCCAGACACCCAATACGTAATTATTATCCAGTCAAGCGTTATCAAGCATGCGACCCTTAACAAATAAATACTGTTTCAGTAGAAGCGGGTTTACTAATTGGCCACATAAATGTTTAAGTACCTGGCAATTCCCGTAGATACTAATCTTCTCTGCAACACTGATAACACTCAGTGCCAAATTTACGCCGATGTCTTTGTGTATTTGCTGAATAGCTGAATAGCTGCAGATTCCACAAACCCTCTTCATGACAGTCGTATTTATTGTCATAAGATATTTTGCACAAATATATTTAATTTCGTTCAAATGCATACAATGGCATGGGCATTGCATCTGTCAGTGGTGTCATTAATAGTACTCTTTTTGTGAATTATCTCTTGTTTAAGTGTAGGAAAATACTCTTCTACTGTCAAACCTGTACGCTGATTGAACATTTGATGGCATGCTGCGACGAGGGAATTATTTTCACACAAACATCTGTCATTGCCGACAGCAATTTATCGATTTTTCGCACCGAAAACAGACATTTTACGGATCAAGTAATGTAAGTAATATCTCAGATTTCTGAAACACAGTATGGGCCATTTTCCGATTGGAGGAAAGGAAATAAACTGTCATCACTTTGAAGCTGGAAATGTCCAATTTGCATTGTATATCACGTTTTTTTATTGGTTTCTGTTTGATCTCCATACATTTTGACAAGATATTGAGATATCAGATTGCAAAAAAGTTCTAAACAACTTTTAGTTTGGACTCTGTTCGATGCGATGGTGGAAAGAGTGAATATGTTGTTTTATATTCACTGATTTGAAACTCTGTGATAAAAATTAGAATGCGCTGTGTAATATATGGCGTACATAACCAGAAGATGCTCCATATAAGCATCACGATCGCTGCAAATTACTTCCACACTAATTCTCTGATTCAAATTCATCGGTGTCCTGTTCTGTATTTAAACAGACCCCCAGACGACACGAGCACAAGGTCATCCCGACATGAATATGCACAATCACAAGAT